AGGTGGAAGCTCTTTATACGTAGTACATAGGGCAGCCGTGCAACTGTGACAGTATGATGTGCTTTACCAGTTGATTCATATATTCGTCCAATGTCTTCCACATATTAACAAGGAAGTGTCTTCCACCTGGGATTTAGAAGCGACTCCCTACGTACTTTCCCTGAGTGGGATTATGAGGCCCTTAAACAGAATTGCAGAACAAGGAAATGCATCCAGCAGAAGGGCCAAACGGGCTGGTTTGCTTACCTTCTCTGTGACGGTACTTTCATTCAGGGTAGATGGGGAGATCTGGCACTATCGACTGAAACGTGATGGACGTATCTTTGTTGTGAATCAAACGGTATTCGAAAATCTAAATCAAATTGTCGAGTACTTCCGTACCCGAGAGTTTGTTCGTGGGATCTCTCTCAGACGTCCAGTTGGCGATCACGATACGAATTTGGGCATAGGACAACTAGAAATAGCTCAGGGCAGTTACCAAGAGCTGTCACAGCTCGAAGAAAAGGTGAGTTCAAACTTATTTGCTTTCGCGTTCTGGAGAGATCGTATCGGGACCCAGAGAGCTCCTAATGGGACCTTTTCTGAAGGTCGATCAGATTTACTCATGTTCCGATTCCAGGTTATGGCGCGAGCACTTCGACCCTACAGAGGTGTTGGTGAAGATGATCTCTCATTCCCTGCCAATGCCATTATAACAGTACTCCGTAAGGAAGAATCATTGTGGACAGGTGAGAAAGACGTTTTTGTCGAAAGGTTTTATTTTTTGATTTTGCCAAGAGTTGTGAGCACTTGAGCTTGTATTCGTTTTTGTGCTATGATCTTTTTGGAGTTTGGTCTTGGGCTTAAAAATCATCTCCTCTTTTGGAAAGATACCGAGCGCGTGGGCGGGCACAAACTTCATCACTTAGATAGTGAGCCATTATTTATGGAATTGGTGGATGAGCGATAGTGCAGATACCGCAACCCAATTCAATGCTCATAATGAATAATTCGACTCGATGTAAATAAGTTCGCGTCGATGTTGGTCCTTGGATGGCTTCACTTTTGAATAAATTACATCTCCCTGCGATCGAAATTTTCTCAGACGTTGGTCACCTCTACCACTACGACTCTAACTGGACGGAGTGCCTAGGCGAAGATGGGGCTTTTCAACTTCTAGATTCGTTTAGCGGATTTGAGTTTAGAGTTCAAAACCACCTACGGCGGTACCCTTCTCATCTTGAAGACCATTGCGAACCAAGTATCTTCCCCTTGTTAGTTCCTTCTTGAGGGCCTCTCAAGTACCCTGCATATCTTCAGCTCTCTCTCTCAACGTTTATTACAAAAGCAGCACCTTAGTCGGGGATGGCCATAAAGAAGAAGAGGAGAAGATTACCTAGAATATCATCCTTTTTCTCTGATTCATTTCGCATCTATCAAATTGATAGAAGCACATGGAAGCAAGTTTTTCCTTCACGAAAAAGTCTTCATCTGCAGCTTTTACATTAATAAAACTACCAAATGTACCACTTAGTGTTTTTATCTTCAAAGGCGAGTCATTTATCACTTCATGAACCTCGGAGATACATATGGTTCAAAACAGCTAGAGTTGGATCTAGAGCGAGATTTGATCTGGCATTTATTTCATCTTCGAATAATTGCTACAGTAACCGCGCCCCCTCTCCCTTTCCTTCGTCTCCACTGGTTTTTTATAGATGACTATGCGTGGGCGTTGATATCAAAGAATGATTTATTGAATGCTATAATCTAAACCTTGCAATAATATCAGGTCGATATGGCTCATCGGTCGGTTGGTTCCCGGCGTCTTACGTCCAGGAGATTTTACCAGAGAAAGTAACAACTGTGGGAGGTTAGTCGTTTCCCCAAATCCTTGTTTATCGGCTGATGCTCTTTCCAAATTGGTTATTCTATGCAGAATTGAACATTTAGCCGTTGCAAGTAATTACAACACGATCGAACTGGCTGGGACGGTAATTGAACGGGTAACTGATGGCGAAAAACAGAATGTCATTAAAATTTCCCATAGCGCTCAGCAATGGACTGGACAGCAATGGCTTCTGGCAGCCAGATGTAAGTTTAACGAGTGTTTTTCGCAGATGTTATATCGCTCAGCATCATCATTGAAGCCATCGAAGAAGCGGATGATTGGCAAAATCAGCTGTGGGATTTGACACGTTCGGTGAACAATAAGATCAGTGTACTTCGAACAAAAGAAAAAAGTGCACGAATCGCTGCCGAATTATCAAACCTCGTGGTGAGTCTCGTGGACCTACATGGGCTCCCTCGAAAGATATTAATTGCTCGAGTTCCTTTTTAGGTGTATTGTCAAGCGGTACCGTTTGATGCAGCTCACGTTCGTACAGGATCTTTCTATGAAATGTGCTCATTTGTGGAAAATAAGCTGGACAAGTTATTGGAAAGGGTAAGCTACATATATCGCTCCAAAAGCGCAGTTTACGATAGAAGTGGTTTTTGGGGCTTCCCCCAAGGATGAAACTTTCCTACAAGGTTAGCGGGTCTGGTATCTTCTCCCCAAACGTTGTCGCGCTCACCGCATGCGATCGATCGCATGAAAGGAAAGATTTGAATTCCCAGTAGAGGAATACTACATTCGCCGCAGAACCACTGCCGCTGACCGTAGAAATTCGGGGAGAAGTTCCGTCACCCAAAGGTAGCATGTGCGACATTTTCGGGTCGAAAAGCGGTTTTGTCAGGGAATAATAAGAGCTCCAAGACCGGTTTGGCTGATGTACACACCCAAAAGTGGCCGTGTTATGACGGTCTCGGTAAGGCTGCACTATTCACAGTGAACCGACAGGAAGACGGCGAATAGTAGGCTTATCTGAGAGTCACCCAAACGATTACAGACTCATAATCACGTGCAATCCCTTTCCCTACAACTTTTTAAAAGTCTTATCTTTCTCAAAACCGACCACTTTCCGCACTATCTTCGCCATTTCTGCACTATTCGGCACCATGAGTTCCATTACTTTAAGTTAGGTACTCGAATTTATCGTGAACTGTACCTTCAAATTGTAGTGCAATGCATTGCATGTATCTAGAGAGATTCTTTAAAAAAATGGATTTTTTTGATTTTCATAATTTAGGGTTTGGTTACGTTCAATATTCGTCAGTTGTCACGGGTCTATCCCCATGGCTCACGGATCACTTCTGCAAACTACAATCCTGTACCGATGTGGAATGCCAGTTGCCACATGGTTTGTTGCATTCAATCTTCGTGGAATGGAAGAGTGAGATGATAAATTATGATGGTTTCTGACGTTGATCGATCCCATTTTTGTGATACGCCCTGCACTTGACTTCCATCGGAATCGTGTGGCGTTTTGATTGTAATGACCTCGGGTGACGATCTGATGTAAAATTCAGTGTTTTGCCTTAGTGGATGGGTCTGCTGCTAAATAATCGACTGGAGGGTAATATCCTTGGTGGGCCTGGGCGAGTATCGTTCTGCAATTCGATCTCCGAATTGTGCTTTTGATGGTGCACCACTTGCCACTACCCCACCCAATCTCATAGAATGGAAGAATATAAGTCTAAAATCGATCTGTTTTTAGGTTGCGTTGAATTATCAAACGGGTGACAAAGCAATGCAACTAAATCAGGGAAAATTCATGGCCAACGGCAGGTGTGGATATGTACTGAAACCGGAGTACATGCTTGACGAGGGTTTTGACCCGCTCCATGGCGAAACTGTAGGTTTACCAGTTAAATCGAAGTGAGCCAGTCACCAAAAGTGAAAAATATACTTTTAGACGCTCGGTTCGACCATCATTCGTTTGACCGTCCAAGTTATAGCTGGACGTCATCTTTCCCGTCGTGATAAACACAAAGGAATATGTTCGCCTTTTGTCGAAGTCGAATTAATTGGTTTGCCTTGTGATGAGAGGTCTTACAAGACGAGAACTATCGGTAGGTCCGGCGTCTTTTAGCAATCTCTTTGAACTGCTTTCTCATCACTTTTTCAGCGTCGAACGGGCTCAATCCCATTTGGAATCAAACATTCGTGTTTGAAGTGACCTGTCCTGAAATGGCGTTATTGAGATTCAGTGTGGAGGATGGCGATTTTGTCGGTCCCAAAACGGACCCATTTATAGGACAAGCCGTCTTCCCACTGGACTGTATTCGCACCGGTAAGTTCTCCCTATGAATCTCAGTCACAAGACGGCTTCAAAACTGGGGTTTAAAGACGGCCAGAGGTGTGCATTGGTAGGCTAGATAGAAATGGGGAGACCCACCCCCGATCGGCGGGGCGTGCTCCAAAAATGCATTGCTTTATGAAAACGATTTGGAAAAGAATTACTTACTTCAGTTACAATTTGACTCTCATAGTGTGAATACATATTTATCAAACAAAGCTTGGAATTGTTCAGGTTTTCGATCAATTCCTCTGTTGAATCAGTTCAGTGAAGAACTCGAATTGTCATCATTGCTTGTGGACGTTCAAATGATCTCTGTGAAAGACTCAACTCTTATCCAATCTGCTCATTCCATTCTCCAGGTTAGTCAAGCCTTTTCCAAGTCTGAAGGCTATTCGTTCCCAATTTAAACCGGCCTGGACAATTGCAAAGCCTAAAGGGTAAGGTTTTCGATGTCAAACAGTCTCGTTTTCAAGATATGCCCTGCCTTTGACTTCTATTCTCAATCATAGCGGCGTTTTGAATGCGTGTTGCGTAGTCAACCGAAGCATAAGTCAGTGCTTTTATCATCCGAAAGACGTCTGGCAGAGATTGAACGATCCCGGATGGACGCTAGGTTTGGTCGACTTGCGCTTTGTTGATCCGGGATTCGAACCTCGGACCCTTGGTCGGATAATGCACCACTCGTTCGTTATGCACCCTCGGGGAATTTATTCGATCGTTTTCCCTTTTTTTCATTTATTTTTTGTGTTGGACTTTTTTCAGTGATGTCTTTTACAGCGTCGAACTAAGTAAATGAATAAATATATTACCGAAATATTCCAGGCTAGTCGAATGGCTCCCGTGTTTCGTTCGAAAGACCGTCAACTGAAATCGTTCGATTCTCTTCAGTCTCCTGGATCACAAAGGTCGTCACAAACGTCACAAACACTCCCACGAGAAATCGCTTGTCGCAGTGGAGTGTCGATTCGTGGAAGTTCGGTGGATTCACAGTCACCGTCAGCCTGTAGTATTGTGGCCCGGAAGTTCTCAACATTCCAATCCCAAGACAGCTTTGACAGCACAGAGTAATACCTACAGTTTTATTTTTTCCAAAAAAATTTGACTATTCGTTATTAGGTATTCCAGGTCACTACCATCGGCACCTAACGGAATACCGGCATCCACAGATAGGGAAAAGAAGCGAGGAAAATGGAGTTTCCCAGGATTTCGTTTTAGAAGCAAAGATAAAGATCATAATTAAAAACTTGCCCAAAGAACTGGTATGCCCAAGAGGAGTGGACAGGTATTTGCAGCGTTGATTCTTCGCAATTAGCCAATCAGACGCGTTGTCCCCCTGGTCGGCTCCCTGATTGGCTGGACGACTGAGCTCCGCGCCAGGATACCCAAGCCTCACTTTGACCACGAATTAGCTCTTTTCATGAATTTGAATATGACTGTAAATTGACCATATTATCTCTCTGGAAGCATATAATACATAGATGTTGTAAATAAGGCCCCATCGCACNGAGGAGTGGACAGGTATTTGCAGCGTTGATTCTTCGCAATTAGCCAATCAGACGCGTTGTCCCCCTGGTCGGCTCCCTGATTGGCTGGACGGCTGAGATCCGCGCCAGAATACCCAAGCCTCACTTTGACCACGAATTAGCCCTTTTGTTGGATTTGAATATGACTGTAAATTGGCCCATATTATCTCTGTGGAAGCATATAATACATAGATGTTGTAAATAAGGCCCCATCGCACTGAGCTTCTTTTATTCCCTCACAAAATAACACTGTTCCCAATAGAAATTGTGATTTTCTGCCATTCCCCGAGTGCCTCGTTATTGATCTAGTCGTCGAATGGTTCAATTATGACAGGTTCAAATCATTTTCCTCCTCTCAAAAATTAGGTAGTTAAATTTTGTAGAAAAAAATTGACCTGAAAGCTTAATTTGACCCAACTCTAGTTGAAATCACTTCATCGTACCATATTTGCTTTAATTTTTAGAAATCTCATATATATCTATCGCCCTTGACCTATTTGAAGGACCTTAGTATTTATTTTTTGATGAATTTGTGAATTTTGCGATGTCCCTATGTGATTATATGTTGTTCGCAACGATTTTTCTTCTTCACGATTCTCTCGTTGGTTGTGATAAATATAAATGTTTTATTTAGCTTGAAAATAAACAATTGAACTTATTCATGAACGACTTTATGAAAGCTAGAATAGTCTATTTGATACTAGCTCAAATATTTGGAGTGAGCCATGCTTTCGACCACCTATCGGCTTCGTGGCGGCTATGGATCGGACTCTGACTATATAATGGCGGTCTGATCCACGATCGATTTAGTGTCTATACCTCGGAAGGAAAGAAAAATCCCAATAAAGAGCTGACAAAAGGAAAGAGAACGAATATTTGCAATTCCGGTACATTTACAGCATATACGACCCCTTGGTTATGAGCTTGGGTTCGTAGGGGTGGAGTTCCGCGTAGGGATGCTTCACGAATTGCTATTGGAGCGCGTAAGCTACAAAAATGAGGTAGGAAGGTGGATGTACTAAAGCGAGTGAATATCTTCATCCAAAACTTGCCATTAAAATCATAATTTGAATTAAAAGCCAGATACTTCATCTTCAAAAGGCAATCAAACTATTTTCTAGACATGTCCCACGGTCGTGAACGTATAATCTGAATTCAGAGGCGTTCATTACATCTTCGAGTTCTAATTAAGAGAAGAACTACCACGAGATTTGAACAATCAGGGAAGGCCCAAAATCTTTGGCATAATCAATTCTCTTCGGGATGCGCCCCACGACTTCCAGCCAGGTTCGTCGAGGCGTTTGAATGTGTGCAAGGCCTATATGATGAATTGACCAGCCCACATACAAATCAGTGCTTTATCTTCTAGACGAGTTCGGTACCAACTAATCGATCCGGGAAAGAATACTTGGTCGATATGGAAGAGTATCGCCGGGCCGGGATTCGACCTGCAGACCATACGTATGTAGGAGAGCGCCACTTGCCACTACACCAGAGAGCGCGCTGCCTGCGTCATGGTAGGTAGGCAGGTATCGAGTCAAGTTAT